ATTTATTAGAAGTACATTACTAAGAGAAGTGAACACTCCGCGTATATAGTATAGGCGATCACGTTATCCCATACTTCCAACTAAATGAAAGGAGATTTGGAAGGGATGATTATGAGGGTCTGGATGGTTTTTTTTTTAATTTCTATATTGTTTAAATTTTTTGTCATTTTTTTTTTATCTTTTTAAACATATTTACGCTTATTCTGTAATTTTACTATTAATTTTTTCTGTAATTAGATAATTTCTGTATTCTGTACATCGCTCATTTCTGTAATCAGTAGTGTATTGCCTAGTTATTCTTTCTACTTTTGCCTCCCATTATTCTTTATTCTTTATCAATTTTGTTTTGCTCAGTTTACCCATTCTTTATTTTGTTGGCTATTATTATCTATTCTGTATTGGCAATGCATGTTGGAAATCAATAATTCATTCAAAATACCCTTAAAGTCAATGGGAAATCTAGAGTCAAAATAATAACTCCTCTGCAAACACGGAAAAGGTTGATCTTTTCAATGTTTGTACCGTTTTAGCAAGGACGCTATTAATTATAAATTCAAAAGAAAACGTTCTGGTAAATAGAAACATTAAAAATAAATTGAAGAACACAAATGTCCATATGTTTTCATTTCCTCCTAAAATAGCAAACGATGAGTACAGTAGCTATAAGAGCTTTGTGTACAAGGTGTCAGACCACCAATTCACTCTCTCAAATTTAGAACGTATGTAAAAGTAGCCCTACTCTGACACAAAATAGTGCTTTTGATGTCATTGTTTACTTAAACTAACCAACAAATTTGCAGAAATGAAACTTTTGGTGAAAGAGAAATATATTTAGACCATTTTGAGCCAAAATTTACTTGTCTATGAGTTTGCATTAAAAATTGAGGATTACTGCGCTCCATAGTATACTAATTAAAGATTTCCTGAAAACCAGGGGTTAATTTTAGTAGTACTTGTCTTCCGCAAGGCAGTTCTTTCTTAGAAGTCTTTAAACATGGGTTGAAAATTGGCATGTAGAAAGGTGATACATGTACAATTCAGAATATACCTGGTTTCTATGAAGTTAAACTTAAGGTAAAATATTAAGAAAGCTGAGAATATTGCAAAATTAGGTTGAATAGATAGGGATTTTGAATTGGTGGTTTGAAAGGTTGCTATGCGAATAAATTCCTGGAGTACCAGCTTCAATTTATCTTTATATTTTTAAACTGCACAGACACAAATTTTGAAATCGTCATATTCATGAAAAGACAATATTTTTATATTAAAGGTTCACGTGACAAGAGTAGATCGGTGTTCTTGAAAACTTAGATGTTGAAACTATGTATGAGGGCCTGGGCAGGGTATTGGGAGCATGGGAGAGAGGGGCGGGAGAAGGAAGAGAGGGGTGGGAGAAGAGAGAGAGGGGGCGGGAGGAGGGAGAGAATGGGTGGGAGGAGGGAAACGGGATAGTAGGGAGCATCAATTGAAAACTCCATTTATAACGTATAGAACAGATCAGAACATATAAAAAGATAAACACTCATAAGAAAAAAATATCTTATGTTAACAATATTGGCAAAAACTAGCCAATACTCGAAATTCATATATCTGATAAATAATGCATATCGCGGATTTCTGTGAACACAGAACAACTGCTTCCATGTGGTTCCAGCCCCAAACCCGTAAGAATCCAATCCCCTCCAGCTCCAATCCTCTTTTTCCTAAGTTGTTTCGGCCCACACTATTATTGTAGTATTTTCGCATGTCTGCTGTTGGCTGAATTACGTGAATACATTTTAAAAAAATGCTAACAAGACAGGGAAAAACAGACTCAGATAACTACGGTTTGGTGCAAAAAAATATTATAATTATTGAGAACAAGTCTTGAAGACAAGAGAAGAATGTACTTTTTTTATATATATGTCCCGACCACAAATGTGGATGTGACATATAGTGTTACCCTTGTCCGTACGTACGTCACACTTTGGTTAAGTTCTCGGTTTAGGTCCATATATATATCGGAGAGAAGACATGGTATAGTAATGGTACTTCACCTGTGGAAGCATCTTGGGTAGTCACTAGTGTTCCACGGTCCAATAACTTTCAGGTCACTTCGACCTGTAACATTTCATGCTTCACTGACTCTGGTTAAATTCTTGGTTTAGGTTCATATCTAGGAAAGTACAATTTACGGGAGGGACATCTGTTGTCTTGAAGACACATTTTCTAGTTTTTTTTTATGTCCCGACTACGAATGTGGATGTGACATATAGTGTTACTAGTTATCAAAGGTACCATGATTATAATTTAATACGCCAGACGCGCGTTTCGTCTACATAAGACTCATCAGTGACGCTCAGAACCCTTATCCGTACGTACGTACGTCACACTTTGGTTAAGTTCTTGGTTTAGGTCCATATCTCAGGGAGTACACATGGTATAGTAATGGTACTTCACCTGTGGAAGCGTCTAATGTAGTGTTCCACGGCCCAGTAACTTTTAGGTCACTTTGATCTACATTTCATGCTTCATTGACTCTGGTTAAGTTGTTGGTTTTAAGCCATATCTCGGAAAGTACAATCTACGGGAGGTACACCTGTGGTCTTACAGACACATTTTCTAGTTTATTCATTTTTTTCATTCCGTGACATCATCAGAGGGTGAACATATCCAATGACCATCTGACACCTGTCAACCGACCCTGGCCCTATTTTTATGGTTTTGTTGTTGTTGTTAGGTCTTTTTATCAATTACTTTACATGGTAGTAAATGATATTTGGTGTATGAAATCATCCAATAGTGAACATTTCGATCTGACACCTGTCACCTGTCATCTGACCCTGACCTCATATTCATAAACCACTGACCATGTTTGTTTCTTGTGGATTGGTCTGTTTCTTAATAACTATACATTCTAGGTCAATGATATTTGGTATATGCAGTCTTTGGAAGGTGTACATATCTGTATGACACCTGTCATCTGTCCCTCATATTCATGATCTACTGACCAGGTTTATTTTTTGTGCTTAGTCTGGTTTTCATTTGCTACACGTATTCATGGTAGGTCAATGATATTTGGTCTATGAATTCATCCAAAGGTGACCATGTTTGTCTGACACTTGTCACCTGATTTATATTTCTGGTCAAGATACTGGTGCCGTATACATTATGGACAATGATAAGTTCAATGAACTGAACATTCATAGACACACATAACATGTTTCTGTCGAAGAGGAATTAAATGAAATCGAAAACGTCTTTGAAGCAGAGCTTGTTGTCTGTGATAATGCAAAGACACGTAGTGGAAGAAGAATTGGAACTCTTAAGTATCTTTGGGACTATTATTGATCATTATTAAAGTATATGTCTGGAATTTGTAACTTTACTCCCCTCAAAAGGTTAAGGACCACCTTCGTTTGAAATTGTTTTTTTTTTCAGCAGCAACAGTAGACATTTTTTTTTCGAATTGTTACAAAATTCTGCATACCAATGAACTCTTTGGACCATACGCTATCGGTACACATACATTTACGAATGTATTAAAAGGGGAAAGAAGAAAATGCCTGGGTACTAATATAAGGCTCGTAAGGTAACCATTTTTGCCCAATTCAAATTTGACACGTTTTTTTTTGTGTTTTCAAAACTGATGTAGGGGTTGATAACAAAAACTTGAACTATACTTGCCTGACAATTATTACTTTTCATGGACACCAAGAAAACTGTTCAAAAGGCGCCAATTTGATACCCAACTTTCCCCCTAAATATTTCAATATTGTAGTTTTAGAAAAACTCTGTAGATTTACCAAAAAAGTAATTGTTTTTATTATATTTATCATTTGTATTTAATTCACATGCAAAATATGTATATAAATAAGATGTAATGTCTTATCTCTGTAAATATGTTTGTAGTTAATATGAGATTACAATGCAGTTCAATTCATATTTGGTGTTATAAATGGTATGTGCACCCATGTGTGATCATGTAATCATTGCTGTGTATCATTATATGATCCTATATGTCTATTGTCATCCGTCCGTACAATTCGTCACTCCAAGCACTAGTCAATAAGAACAAAATACGACAAGTATACTGTGGGGTCTATAATTAGTGAGTGTCTGGAAGTCCTTTCATGTTCAGTATATGCAATCACTTCAAACATTACATCTTTGTTTCTGATTCAATGACCAGTTGACAGAACTCTTTTCTTTAGAAACTAAGTACATATAAGAATCACCCTATCTGTCTATCAATGTATCTCTTTTAAGCGCATCTCCTCCTGATCAACTGGATGGATATTGATGAAATATTTACACGGGAAAGTTCTAAATGTTAAAGGGGAGATACTCGTTACTTTAATATACGGCATTACTAATCTTCTAAGTGAAACTCTTCCTGAATGTTTTATGGATTTTAATGAAATGTATGTCGGAAAAGGTAAGGGAGAGATAAAGGGACGGAGAAGGGAGAAAGGGGGGGGGAAGGGAGAAGAGGGGCGGGAGCAGGGAGAAACTTACCCCCATGTCCAGCCCCTCATGTATATTTTAGGAATATGCTAAGGATTATGTGGAACACTCCGAAAATTGGTGACTAACTTGGGAGTTTCACAAGCTTCTAATGCAAATATCTCGATAAATAATGAAAATTAAACTTCATGCATTTGAATGTTTATTTCTAATAACAAAGTTTAACCAATATTTACGATTGTTGGTTAGAAATAAGTTTTGCTCAGTATAGTCACCGGCATCTTTTTACTGTTGGGTTTGTCGACTTTTTTATAGAAGAGATACTTTGCTATTGTTCTCGCGTCCTCGGTTTTGCCACTGAAATTTAAATAGCACAGAAAATTATGATCCTCCTTAGTCAAAAAGGAGGAAGACTTTAATTGTAATTTTTTATACATAATTAAGATCAGATTAGTGGAATAATATTTCTCAAAATGAATTAAGAGCTTACAAATTTTTATTCTTTATTTTGATCAGCGACCAACCACTACATACACGCTGTGCATTTCATTCAATGATAACAGCATTTTGACAAGCATATAGAACGTGTGAAGGCTAATGTGATAAAATATAGTTAAACCGTCTGACAGGTGTTGTTAAAAACCGGACTTTGCTTCACAACCGAACGACTTTGTTGATAATACACTACAAATAAACACCGTTGAATGACTAAAATAAGTTTGGAGTTATTATCCAGGACGTCATACACTTCATGAAGGTAATCTCTTATGATTTCTTTTCCACATAATACTACGTAGTTGTAGGTTGAACCAACAGTTACTCGAATTATTTCACTTCACATACAAATGACTATTTAAATCTTAGTTTTAGTTGACGAAGTAAATTCAAAGTCATGTGATGACCTTGATCAAATCCTCAATAAAATGTACACAAGCTGTACTGAAAAACGAAAATAATGAACTACGAGGTTCAACAGTGAAAAAGCATTACAATTGCGCGTAAAAATCATTACGTTTTGCGCAGCTTTTTATTACATTTGTGCGCATTCATTTTACAGATAAACACAGATAAATAGAAATAAGAAGATGTAGTATAAGTGTCAATGAGACAACTCTCCATTCAAGTATATATTTAGGTAAACACTGGTCAATTATACTTATGATTAAAAATAATTAATTATAAGAGGTAATTACACCATCCGATAGTTTTATACGATATATATATAGTTATTGTTACATGTAAACTCTTCAGGGCTTTCTCTATTAACGTTGTTTCTTCTTTATCAAGCAATTTACAACGAACTTTTATAGACCTAGCTGTTAATTTGGCTGTCGCTTATTCTTTACAACCGCACGGATTATCGACCTCTCAACTTTTCTAGAATCCGACTCATGTGCCTATTCACAGTTACCATATTCATCAGATTTTATAGCCATGAAATACCCTCAACTAACTGAGTGTTCTATCAATACCTCAGACCAATACAGGAAGTAAATATTCATCGTACACTTAATACCAACCCCTATTTGGTTCTGATTATCGACGCAAGTTGACGCAACTTTCCAAATTGAGTTAACTTATTTAATAAAGCAGTCACTATTCTCGCGCGCTTACGGAATTTCTCGTCATTACTTAATATAAATTTTTAGAATTCAATATGAACAAGATATAATTTTAAAGTGTAAATATATATAAAAAATTAAAAACCTTGGACATATTTATAAGGAATTATCTTTATGTTATATTATCTTTACTTATGTTACCTTAAAGGGACATTTGCTACGATTTAGACAAAAAGTTATTTTTTAATTTTTTAGGGGTTCAAACATTAAAGGGACATTAGCTGTCATTTCTTTTCACCGATTTGACTCAAATTCTCATATTTAAATTTGATTTATAACATACTAAAACGTATATCCAAATTATAAATAGTCTAAAATAAACAATTTACGATGCATGGACTCGATAATATTTATAAGCACTGCGTGCGTATTTTAGCCAAAAGCCATCTAATTAACCATCGAGGTGACCTCCGAAGACTGCCGACGGTCATATACCCGATATAAACATAAATATAGATATAAATATAAATCGTTTTTACTTGTATAAGAATAAGTTTTTGTGGATCGAATCAGTCGACCAAATGGTTTACCCTTGTTACACTTTCAATGTTGACATTTTTTTCCCTTTAATAGCAGAACACTCCTAGTTTATGCGTGACCCATCTCTTGCTAAAGGGTTGAATTGAAGGTCAATTGATTACGGATTCAATGAGGTCGAATTATTCACTTGTAATTGAATAATTCATCAGCGATGTTTCTTAGCCTTTTTAGACAAAATTCTGTTACTTAGCCTTTTTAGACAAAATTCTGTTTCTTAGCCTTTTAAGACAAAATTCAACCAAAATTTTTATTTCACTTTTTCACTTTCATTAATGATTGAACAAAAAAAAATCATATTTTAATTTTTTTTGTATCTCGTATCTAATGCCCCTTTAATAAAAGTGGAATATTGAAATAATATTTCTCTATTAGCAGTCAGTTTGGACCAATTTGTCAAAACAAGCTCAACCACATCTCTGATGTATTATTGGTTTTCAAGTCAATAATTCAACCTATTTTCAATCCGTATTCGTGCGACCTTTGATTGGCCTTTGTTGAAGATTGGTTGCGTATGAGCCAACAAATCCAGTGAATGAAACGAATGTCAGCTGAAAAAGTGAAATGTGGAAGGTAGCATCAGCAAGACCGATTTTGTTTATTGATTCAACCCGCAAAAAAAATCAGCCTTATACAAGTTATGAATAAACTCATCATAGATACCAGTATTAAACAAATTTGTACGCCAGACGCGCGTATCGTCTTCAAAAGACTCATCAGTGACGCTTGAAATAAGTTATAAAAGCAAAATAAAACTACGAAGTTGAAGAGCACTGAGGACCTAAAATTCCGAAAGGTTTTGCCAAATATAGCTAAAGAGTTCATGATTTAATTTAATCTGTTTGATTTTAATTTGAAACTAGTATCTCAATTGTTTGTTTTTTACAAACAATTGAAAGGTCTTTCCCTTAAAAGTCTGAAATTTGTAATGTACTTTTTACGACCTTTCATTAGAAATGCGACAAGCATACCTTTCTAAACTTTTCACTTTTCGCACTTAATGACCCTATGATATCGATTTAACGATTTCAGACAATGTGTATTGTATTCAATGCAACTTTTGTAGCTCTAAATTACGTTTAAGTATAAGTTAAATCAAATTTGAGAATTCAAATAAATTCGGTGGATATAAATTTGACAGTTTCTTTAAAATAAATACGCCAAATATAATAAAATATTGCAATCGTAAAAAATATTTAATCCCCAAATGTGCGCAGCTGTAATGCGCCCAAAAATAGATAGTGTTGCAGATTATTTTTTGACACCTCAATAAAAAATGGAAACTTGAGAGCAAGCTTAACGGATTAAGTTAAAATAGCAAAGACATTTCTTTTTCAATAAAATAGCTTGCAGCTATTTAAGAAGTATAAATATGACTGATCGTTCCCTTTCTTATATTTGATCACCTTTCATAAGTTGTTCTTTACAAGGTTTCTTGCGATCGACGTGATTGACCTTCGGTCGGCCTTGCCTGCCATAGTTAAATAATTAAAAAGTGATAGTTAACATCTTAATACTTTTAATCACTTTGGTGGGCTACGCCAATAACTCGTAAACTAAGAAGAAATCCCGGGATTGTGCAATGGAAAGAAAACAAACACTTTATCATTTTTATCAAATTTACTCCAACTCAGGTGTTTGTCGTGACACTTCGGTTATCGGGGCATTTCTCCAGATACATGGCTTTGTATAAATTTGTAAGCCTCTTCCTATCTTGTAATTCCCATACCCATCTATTGTCTTGGATGGATTTTATCTCTACATGAAGCTCATACATGATATCCACCGGCGTGTCAATCTCTCTGCCAATCATCAATTTATTTGGTATGCAGCCTGTCGTTTCGTGTACTGCCGTTCTGAACGCCATCATCACATAGGGTAAGAGCTGATCTCAGTTGCTGTGGTTTTCAACGACGTATGCGCTGAGCATCCTGATTGGTGTGCTGTTAAACCTTTCGACCATACCGTCCGATTCTGCGTTCCTGTGTTGGTTGCATGGTCTATGATTTATCTTTAATTCATATGAGCCTAGAACCTTAAGCTAACTTGCTAGCTGTCCTGAATTCTTGAAGTTCATTAATTATTGCAAGAAGCTATGGTCCGTTCTCACAATAAGTCCTTCCATACAAAAAAATTTCTAAAATGTTTGACAAAGTGTACGACTGCAAGCAACTCTTTTCGGATTACGCAATACCTTCGCTCGGTCTTTGAAAGAGTGCGGCTTTCATATGCAATAAATTCCTCCTTTCCGTCTATTTACTGAGACAGCAATGCATCAATGGCTGACTGACTTGCGTCAGTATCAGGTGTAAAGGGTTTCGTAAAGTTTGGATGCGCCAGTACTGATTCCAAGAGGAGCTTTGATTTTAATGTTTCAAAGAATGAATTCCTTCAATCAACAGATATGCTTGACTCTTTTTCTGTAAGCTTATGGAAGCATGTTGTAATTGCTGCAAAGTTTTCAATATGCCTCCTGTAGTATCCACACAGATCCAGAGAAGAGAGCAGCACACTTACACCGTTCGGTTTTGGCCATTTTTCGAAGGCCTTTATCTTATGGGTATCTGTGGCAACTCCATCTTTGCTTACTGCATGTCCTTGATAGGAAACCGATTTGGCAAAAAAGGGAACACTTCTTAAGTTTTAATTTCAAGCCTGCATTTTGAAGTCGTTGAAACACTTTCTCTAGATTGTCTATCATCTTTGTGAAAGTCCTGCCTACTACAATAACGTCGTCCAAATAGACTAAGCAAATGTTGCATTGTAACCCAGATTTACTCGTTCCATCAGCTATTCGAAATTGGCTGGTGCACATGCCAGCCCAAACGGCATTTTTCGGAATTTGAAAAGACCTCGTCTTGTGGCGAATGTTGTTTTTGGGGGGTCACTGTCTTCTTCTTCTACCTTCCAGTAACCTAAGCAGAGGTCCAGCATCAAAAACAATATGTTCCCGGCAAGCTGCTCTATGCTATTGTCTATGCGAGACAATGTCAAGTCTTTCAAACGACGAAAGTCGACTCAAAAAACGAGTCGACCCGTCCTTCATTTTGACGATTTCGATTCCGGATTACCATGGACATTCTTCTCCTGGCTCTATGACATTTGCCTCTAACCTTTTATCGATATGACGGTCTATTACTTTGCTTACTATCACTGGTGTTCTGCGAGCTGGCTGTTAAACAGGGAGGTTTGAGCGAGGGGTTACTTTGTGTCGCACATTACTCGTACAGTCGAGTTCCTGGTTTGACAATGCAAAAACAAGTTATGCTCCTGTAAAAACAATGTTACTGCTTGCTATTGCTCATTGGATAAGTAAGTTCCACCTTCATCGACAAGCTCGTGCAACTCCTTGCCCAAGGATTTGTGTTCTTTGCAGCTTTCGGTTTCTCCTGAGACTTCAATTATATTTGCCACTGCGCTTATTTCCCAAACAATTGTCCCGGTTTTGGTTACTTTAACATCATTCGTCACATTCAGTGGCCGTTTTGGAACGTGCTCACGTGCCTTAACACGTGTTCTTATTGATTCTATTATTCCTATATTTATGCTATCCTTTCAAAAAGATAGGCGAAAGATACCAAAGGGACATTCAAACTCATAAGTCGAAATAAATACTGACAACGCCATGACAAAAAAGAAAAGGACCAAAAAACAAACAACAGTGTACAAAACACAACATTGAAACATAAAGACTGAGCAACACGAACTCACCAAATACCGCAGGTGATGTCTGGTGTTCCGGAAGAGTGAGCTGATCCTGCTCCATATGTGGCACCCGTCGTGTTGCTTATGAAAGAACACATCCGGTAATAAGTCTAAATCGGTAGGTCACATTCGAAGAAAAGAGGACGGGATTGTTGTTACGACAATTGGAACATATCCGTCGTCATCTGTGAAACAGATATTCCATAATGGTCAACTCGTGATGGCGTCCGTAAAATTTTCGAAGCAAAGAAATGATTTTTAACTTCATCACTTGGAACTCGTGGTTTAATAGCTTCCTTGTGAGCAACAACTCTTTATCAAGGAAATCATGATAGGAAATGCAAGCCCTGGAATATCGTATCAACTGGGAGATATATACTCCATATGCAGGCGCTGCCTGAATATCACAGTGTAGATACTATTCTGTACGCTATCTGGAAGTCGCGATTTTCGAAGCGATGATTTCCAACTGGCTAACAGGACGGTTTTGCCTACGGTGACTTTTCACATCATTTGTTTACTCCTATATCTATAAAGTGCTTTGAACATCTTCAAGGTATGTATAGCATCATAAATATGAGTAACTGTAACAAAAAAATACATAAGAATATAAAATATACGTGTGCATCACACCAACTTGATAGAAAAAAGTGAAATCGATGGACAATTTTGCTCTCGTAGTACAAAGCAAATAATCTTTTAATGCAAATATTTGCATCAGTTTACAGTTAAATATATACTGTTTCAATATTCTTTTTGTATTTAAGTAGAATATTCGTATTTCCCATAAAAAACATGTTTTCCTTGAGGATCCTAAAATAAATTACTGTACGATCAGTCTAGAACTGACTGTATTCTAGAAGCGATTTCAGATTTTTTGACTGTATGACCAGTCGTGATATTGAAAAAGAAACAACGGCAATCTGAAGGTATATACGTGTCTATGTGATATTATGAACTGTCCAGGGAACTATAACGTGTAATTTCTTTCATCAGACAATACAAATATATTTCTGATGATTTTTGTAGACGGCATTTGTATGGGAACATATATTTGGAATCCCTTTTCTCCTGGATTGGACCCCCTCTCCATTTAAAAATGGCTGAAACCCACAATGTATATTAAGTCGTTTATGAGGAGATGCACTTACAAAACCGACGAAACATATTGTACCGGTCCAACGGAAAGACGAACTTCATTATCACTATAAACCCCCGCTTTACAAAGTGGTGTACAATTGAGTGTCAAAGAGACAGCTCTACATCCAAAACAAAGTGAAGGTACTGTGATCAATTATAGGCTACAGTACGGCCTCGAATGTGTGTAAATACATGCATTTTTATATAACAATTAAATCTGTGTGTTTGTACAATTTAAGTATAACGGAGGACATTTCTGAAACTTATATGTACAACAAACCTTCCCCTTATTTTAGCAACATTTAAACATCCTTATACGTAATGTAGTAAGTCGAGTACACCCCATCAAGCTAATACATGTTTCATAAGTTTTCAGGATGTGAATTTATTGAAATATATTTGTGTTATTAAGAAAAATGCCACCTTCTAATGTATCGTAAATAACTTTGAAATCACCACTAGAATACAGTGAAATAAAGACTGATCATACAGTTTCAAAATATACAAGCGAGACTGATCGTACAGTGAGAAATTCAAACAAGTGTAATTTTCTTATTTCTGGCTTCAAAGATCTGGTTGAAACTTTTACCACCACTTGAAATATACTTCATTTAGTTAATTACGTCTGGTTTTTACGTTAATTTGTACACTAAGAGGGTAAAAAGATTGTTTTTAGGTTCACCGACTGATTTTCCTTAGTGATGCACTTGAAAATCTCTTGATTAAGGCAAAGATACGAATAATGAATGTGCTGAATTTAATTCTAAACCATTTGAGAATATCGATGTCAGCTGAATTAATCATTAAGCAATGTACAGATGATCAACTTACCGTTTAATTCAGTATATCCATCAAATTTAAAATGTGATCCAAAAAGTTCTCGTTCGAAAATCGCGACTTCCGGATAGCGTACAGAATAGTATCTACACTGTGAATATTGCTACATAAAAATGGAAAATTCACAAGTGGGAAGCTAGATTATCTCTTTTGTCGTAAAGTTTTGTTCTCAACCGACCCTTGGTGTCAATTTCTAGATGTAAGTCAAGATATGAGGCAGACTTATTTGCATCTGTTGTATCCTTTTCAAGTTTGATAGGATAGATGCGTTCAACATAGTCACCAAACTTTGAATTATTAAGTGAGAGGACAGCATCTATATAGCAGAAATCGACGTTAAAGGAAAATGCTAGCTTCTTTTCATTATTCCTAAGAAGCTTTTGTATGAATTCAGTGTCAAATTAATAAAGCAACAAGTCGGTAAGAAGACGAGCACAGTTGGTTCCCATTGGAATGCCGATTGTTTGTTGAAAAACACGTCATTTAAACGTAACACATATGTTGTCAATCAAGATATCAAGCATCTTGATAATGTCAGTTTCAGAGAAGTTTTTACAAAGTACGATGTATCCCTCCGTAAGACAAGATACTTGTACTTTCGTTAACCAATCTTTTTTATGAAACAAAGGAGGATCCAACTCTTTTAATTTGCTTTTTAGTTTCGAATTGGGAAAACTTGTGTACAGGATAGAAGAGTCAAATATTTTAATACTACTGCAAGATGAAAGAGTCTTAGATTGTACCGGTATGTACTTTTTTAGTATCAACATCTGAATCACATCGCCTCTAGAATAGGTAGTTTTTTAGTATCAACATCTGAATCACACCGCCTCTAGAATAGGTACTTTTTTAGTATCAACATCTGAATCACATCGCCTCTAGAATAGGTAGTTTTTTAGTATCAACATCTGAATCACACCGCCTCTAGAATAGGTAGTTTTTTAGTATCAACATCTGAATCACACCGCCTCTAGAATAGGTAGTTTCGCGATAACTTGATGAAGCATCGAAGCCGATATATTTCCCACTGGCTATCGCATCATTCCATTGTGGTATGCTGTTGTCTTCGGCTGCTGATATTCTATCACACCTTATCTTTTCAAAATTTGCAACGAATAAGCGCTAGTTCTGCATCTTACGTATCGTTCTGAAAGTCTATATGGCAATCATACACTTTCATAAAGTCGAGGCCTAATATTCCTTTGATCGGTAGGTCTGTAACCAAGGCCTCTACTTCAAACTTTTCTGTGCCTAACTTTAAGCTGAATTTCCCATTTCCAGCAATTTTCAGTGCGGTACCATTCATCACCTGTGTTATTGGTTTTAGTTCAGAGCGGCCTTTTCGAGGGATTCTGTCAAACAGCTCCCGAGAAAATAAAGAAACATATGCTTTAGCTTCCTTGTTTGAAGCCTTGACTTCTAGACTCAGATTTCTTCTTTCCATCCGTTTTTGTCGACTGTTAACAAACAATGGCAAAGCTGTCCGTCTGTGCTTTTATTTGTCTTTGAATATTGATTTTTAAGCGCTCGGCATTCACTTTTAAAATGACCTTTCTTCCCACAGTTTAAGCACGGCATTTTGCTTTTCCACCCTGGTTTGCGTATGCCACTACTCTTTTCTGACATTTTATTTTTTAAATTATCCAGATCCTTCTGAAGTGCATCAATCTAAGCCAAAAGACTTTCATTAAAGTCATTATCTTCTTGCTTGAATCTTCAGTTTTCTCTTCAGCAGCACACGTGGCCTGTAGTTGACACCTGTCAGTATCATACTTTCTGTTCATTTTGTAAAAAGCTTCCACCAAGGAATCTAGAAAATGTTCCCTGGTAAAGGTTTCTTAAACCTCGCTTGGTGTTTTTGAGTAGCCTCTATTCACCAGACGTCTTATTGACTGTCCAAGATCGGGTAAGCTTTTTGTCGATTCTCCTTTAACTGTATTCTGCAAAGTTACGTCGGTTGCGGAATCGTTTGACGAAGTTCTTCCCTCTGTATAGGTGATACCGCTGGCATCGGCATCGTTTCTGTTCTGTCTTCTTCCTTTGTGGTTTGTGTCCCTTGCGTTGTCTGTTCTTTCGGTCGCGCTCCTCTATCATTAGTCTTTATGGTGGTAAACAAATCATAAACGAGGCACTCCGGGGGTTGATTCCGATTTGCCCCCACGCTGGCAGACTGCGTATTGTGCATGATATTGCTATGCACCGTCTGAATTATTTTAATCAATAAAATCTTTAACTGTTTTTTTTTAAGTAAATGAGCAAATGCACTTGTTCCCTGGCTCAGTAAAGTCTGCATTTTACCACTCAATTCTTCTTCTAACATGCTTATTTGTTGCTCTAACGCAGTAAACTCATTCATTTTTTTTTTATTATATATGACCAGCGCCTTGCTGAATTCCACCGCTGCCACCAAAAATAATGTCACGTACCGGGGGTACGGGGTAGGTTCGTACCAGAGTTGAAATCGAATGAATAAGTGGTCACCCTAAGATTAACGACGAACACCAAGGGCTTAAGGGCTTGTGGTCCTTAATAAAAGTAGCAAGGTTAAAGCGGTGAACAATGGATGCCAAAGAAGATGCCTTATTCCTCTACTTTTAATAAAGGTATACAGCTTTTCTTACAATCAATGCTCTAAGGTACTCTTCAAAGCCAATGCATTTAACAATGGGCCAATGCTACAAGCTTCAAACTTCAGCCAAGGCTTAATGCTACAACCAAGGCTTGACTCTGACGCCATTGCTTCTTCAGCAGCTACTTCTTTATGTAATTACTTTTAAAAACCCTTTTCCTTATTCAGGTACGTTTCTTCCTAATTTTACTTTTGAATTATAGTACTGATTCACACCTCTAATTATTTCTGTGTTTTGGTTAACGTTCGCCATCTGACTAACATTATTACTACGAGCACGGAATATAAACTCGACCTTAGACTCTCCCAAATAATAGTACTAACCCTTACTACGCAGTAAATCGGGTCAAAAGAAAATCAGCCATATTTCAATTTATAAACATGATCGTCAACGAGTTGGTTCACATTTGTTTGCTAAAATCCAACCCTGCATATGAAAGACACTATACAGAGACTTAATCGTTTTCAGAAAATTGTCGATTATTAAGTCAAAAGTATTTCAATTGTCAACGATATCTGTATTTACTCATTATGCATTTTCATACAAAATTTTAGCCATATATGACTAAAAACTTAGCCGAAATTGTCGTTTTATATGGTTAATCTTTATGATTAGGTAGTATTTAACAAGAACTACAATTAAACATAATACAAATGTATGTTACTAGTATAATGCAATAATTTTCCCTATATTAGCTATTGCAAAGCAATATGGACTGGTAATGGAGACCAAAAAGGGTCAAAGAGCAGTGGTTAGCTCATGAGTAGATAACTGGAACGATACCATATGTCTCCATTTTTATATTTATGTATAATGAAACACAACGGGTATTCATATCCGAAATCCGCGGAGGGATCCGAGTCCCGAGGAGCAATTAATGAAAAGTTTGTAACAGTTGGTAGGTAAAGTCTGGATTAAACTGGAATCCGCTCGCATTACGCTACACTCAAACAGCTGTCTATGAACAAAGTGTAGTAGTCAGTCGAGAACCAGCTTAAGTCTGGATCAGATTCCCTTGGAGTATAATTCCTCTGTGGGGATTGGATCCAGATTTTACTTATCCACCGTTACAAACTTTTCATTCGGATCCCTCAGCGGTTTCGGATCGGGTTACTCGGTGTTTGAAAGTCAGTTGAGTTTTGAAAGAAATAGCCGTAAAAGATTACCATTTAACAAATTTTATTGCTTTGTTCTATCATAGGATGTTTGGGCTGTAATATCCGACGACAAGATTTTAGAATTAGACAATGTTCAAGTTTGATTGCAACTACTGGCAATACACTAAATGTTCTTGTATATAGGTTTATATTTTAAAAACAAGTTGATAGGGTGGAAGAAATTGTCACTATTTTGCTAACTTAGAATAGTGGTCTCAGATAATATTCTAAACTAGAATAAGAATCCATAAAATTATGGCGATATTTCAATCCATTAAAACAAGGTATCAAGAACATAACACTGATACATATATTATATAGAATATTAACTATTTTCTTTCTTTTTTTCGTCAGATCCAATATTAATAGCGAAAGTCTGAGAATGAAGTATAAAAGTACCAGAGGAGGTGTTTCTGGATTAGGTTTCCAAGATGCTCTATATACAGGTTATGCAGCTGATGGGGGAATATTGGTTCCTGAAAGTATACCCGTTTTAAATATGGAAACGCTCAAATCATGGGCTTCATTGTCATACATTGATTTAGCGAAGAAAATAGTGCCTTTATTTGTTGACGAAGATGAAATACCAGCTTCAGATTTAAATGGTATTTTTTTTTTATATTATTCTTTCAATGGCATATCTAAGTTCGGTATCATGCATAAGAGAGGCAGAAGATACCAAAGAGATAATCAAATGCATAAGTCAAAGAAAAACTGGCGTCACGGAAAAAAATACGAAAAACGACCAAAGAACGTGTTATCAAATCGCAATAAAATAACGTGCAACGCAAAAATTCGGGGGACCTTCCCGGTGGTGTTGTCGACGGGTAGTTCGTGACCCGAGAAGATCCTTTTGCGTATAAAATAAGGGATTCTTGTGTTGCGTGGACCTTTTCCTCTGACTAACTAAAATAAACACGAAGTCGCTGTGGTAAAGTTCAACAGTGTATTAAAGAAATCATGTTAAGTATCATTAAACACAATACACAGTAATAACAGAATATACAGTATATACAGAATACACACCAAGTACTATTAGCAATCCTTCAATCTCGTTCTCTATCGTCAGCTCTACTGTATTACAATAATCACTCCCTTTTATACCTTCACTTGCCATATGGGCTTGTGGGCTTATGGGCACTAGAGTTTCTGGGCACCCGGGCTTATGGATACCAGGGCTTATGGACAACTGGGCTTATGGGTACCAGGGCTTATGGACACCATGTATGTTAGGGCTACCGTGTACCAGATATTACCAGGGCTTACAGGCTCCATAATTTATTAGGACCATAAAGCACCATGTAATACTTAGTCATAGCTGGTCAGCCCCAAATATTAGGGTCCTAAAACACCAAGTTTCCACACCCTATAAATTTTCATTACAAACGTATTATCAAATAACAATGGCCAAGAGATGAGGAAAAACACCTTGAAAACCCAACTGAAATGTATGAGCTAAGTGAAGTCTATAAAGTTTGTATTTCACAATATACAGCATAATAGTCTTTGAAGTAAAGGCTTTTTAACTCGCCCAGCAAAACATGTTTTCCTGAAAAGTAGACAATTGTTTTACCAGGTTTTATTTACATTGTTTCATGCTATAAATATATAACAAGGGGTGTATAAGTATTGTGTTCGCAGTAACCAGAATAATGACTTCATCTTTAAACCTCCGAAATGAATTCATGTGTGCACCTTTATTTTTTAGATCTTATGTTTAGTTCATTAGAAAGCCTCTTACTATTTACACCGGCCACGTCTGCTAAAAAACTGGTTTTATTGTCTTGTTAGGATGTGTCCTATTGACATCTCATTAACTCTTTGTTGATGGGGAAACATTCTTAGATAACAACTACTTTGAAAGGCCCCACTAACTGATTTTTGTGTTTGATTTGTTCTCATTATTAAATATGCATGAAATATTTGCTTAAGGACGTTAAACAAAGAAAAGTCACACCTTAAATCGATAACCAATGAAAGCATATTGTTTGATAGGCTGATATAATAGGATATGTAGTAATGTCTATCTATTAATCATTGCTTCTTTCTACTAAACTAAAAAAATAACAACTCTGAAAAATAATAAAAGTGTATATCTGTTGATTCATTTGCATCAAACTTTTTTCACAACAAATTAAAATAAATTTAGACCCTTACCGACACCTAACGTCATACTGATATAATTGATTTTAAAAATTAATGTGTTCCTCATCTTCAGAATAAAACCCTTCCTTATATACCTCTCTTTGATAAGTTATTTTTTACTTTGAATTATGAAAATACCTACATATGATTTCCAGCGAAACGTCTTATTAAGTATGTTCTGATAATTGATTCAATAATAAAAAAAGTTCAAGGTTCCAAAGTCGTCTAAATTCTAGAAAAGTTTATTTGATAATTGATTTTATGATATAATACGATTATCGACTAAAGCGGGAATTGATTTCGTAAAGCTATTTTTAAGGAGAAAGCACAATGAACGAACTAAATTGCTTCCATCTAGTAATGGGTTTATGATGTTTTAATATTTTGCATGCCACATGGAAGCATGCATGCTACATGTACTTCATCATCTGTAACAACATTGGGTCTAACTTTTTCAATATCACTAAAGATGCGAAAAACTTTATGCAGCTGAGCATCTCTACAAAGACAAAATGAAAACTAAAAAATCTGATTTTTATGCAACTTAGTTATTGATGAATGAAATATTTTATGCGTCCGAAGCGTTTTTCTGGATTTACAATCATCAGGAAAGCTCAACCCCCTAAATTGAAAGCCAAAGATGAATAAACCCTTGAACACTTGAGGAACTCTAGGACCAAAACGGACCTAAAAAAATTGCCAAATACACTTAAGCTTGCCAGAGGGATTGGAACTTTAGTTTCTAATTAATTTCTAAATTTATCAACGGAATAATAAAAAAAAAGTATGTAATAAATTATGTCAATACCGAAGTATAAAGTTATGAATTTAAGATCATAATATATAACACATTTAATTTATTTATATAACAAGAAAACACGCGATGTGCATAAGCTTATAGGGTATTATCATTTACAACTTACAAACATCTTAGGTAGAATATTTTGTGCTCCATTAATTTCAAATCAATTCGTTAATCAATTTTCGTATCATCCGATAAGAAAATAATAACTTGTAAAGCTAGAGCACTTGAAACGAAATCCGCGAAATCTAATTTGACTTAATTTTGGAGTCAATTGTATATAATTCAATAATATTTTTATCCACTTGGTTCAGCAGTCATCTCTATCAAGCCTCGATGCGGACATTCATCGACGCCGCAACATTGATGAACATAGATAATTTGACAAAAAATATCTGAGAAGCAAAGATAACTTTAGATAGAGCATCACGAATCCGCTCAAAATTTGGGGAGACTCAGGTGCTCTGATGGGAAGCCCAGGAGCTCTGATGGGAAGCTCTAAGCAGTTCTTGTAAAGGACCAAGTGCAACAAATTTCTTTAGATATCAGATGTTTATGATAATTAATAGGAATTTTAATAGGTGACTATACATTGGTATAAAAAATGATCGCAGCAGATATCAGATAAAACAGTTTTGAAAAGTCATGTAAAAATGATGGATGGCCACACAAGCCACTATTTAAAAACATGGCCAACATCGATAATAAAAATAGTATCAATAAAAAATGAAAAATAATTGGATCAAGTGTGCTGAAACGATTGAATTGTGAATTGTGTTGGGTCAGGAAGTATCTTAGAAGACAATCCCTTAATAATTGCAGTGAATCATTTTGTACTGAGCCAGTTATTCAAAAGTTTCTTTTTTTTTTTTGGGGGGGGGGGGGGTTGCTGTAGTTATATATATAAATGATTCGATATGTTATAATTTTTTTAAAATGCATTTGTTCATTGGCAAAATAAAAGAGAAAAACACCATTATAAGTCTGCTACTTTATATCAGTTTAGTTAGCCTCCTTAAAAACAAATTGTAAATGACAGAGTGGCAGTTAATTTTAATCAATTTACATTTTCTCGTTCACTTCACCTATTTTTAAAAGCTCTACATTTATTTTTCTTCGTTTTTTCATTCCTATGAAAATATAATGGGTTTTCCTTATATTTATATCGCCGGATGATAAATAAGAGGTCAAATTCATCATCAGTACAATCAGACCACTTAATGTTCTTATTTAACAAAAAAAACATTTGCAATTTGATCAAGATAAAAAGCAAAAATATACTAGTTCTTTAAATAATGTCAGGAATTGCTCTATTTTCTGAAATGAAATTGCCGTCAGATTTAGTGTGAGGTGTGTTCAATGCAAAGTACTACTGGGTCATTTCAATTATAGCTATATTTCTACACGTCTGTAATTTTGTTGACGCACGTCCCTGTGTTTATAGAGAGATTGCCATCAAAGATGGCTGTATTTCACGTCTGTTTCACAATACGGAATATATTGCAACCTCTAATGGCCATTCTATTGTACATTTTAACGACATGTTTGTTAAAACAAAAAAAGTAATTCCTTTTGTGAGTGACGCAAACTCATTTCCTGTCATGTATCATAAATCAGTTGATCATCGTTGTTAGAAATACAAATAACTGCATGACTTGAAATTAATTTGTAGCACTTGCAAACAAGTTTATATCAGTGCTAGGCTTTTAAAGTGTCATGATGGAAAACTCGATAAGAGTCTTTTGCTTAACGTCACAAAGCTAAATACTCAAACTCATTTCTTGTATCCTAATTAATTTGAAACTTGGTCTATTCAAACCACAGTTTTGTTATTTGCACTCAGGCATTTTACAAAATTACAATTTGCTTTTCGGGTGACCTTAAGAATTCCAAGTGACATTTAAAACATTTGTGTCTGCTTTTCTTTATGATAAGTAACAGAAACTGCACTGACTTTGGTAATGTGTGTGAATGATAAAAGTGGTTTTTATAATTTTTTTTATCTCAGTATAATTAATTGCTTTTATATATGTTAAATATATAATTCCAGGTCTTTTAGAAAAAGCATTTGCAAAGTTTACTCACCAAGAGATAGCCCCAATACAGCGGCTTAAAAATGGTTTGAATATAATGGAACTGTTTCATGGTACAACTTGGGCGTTTAAAGACTTAGCTCTCTCATGCGTAGGACAGTTTTTGGAATATTTTCTGTCGAAACAGAAGAAGCACTTGACAATTGTTGTTGGTGAGATTAATGAGTTACGAAAATTGGATTTAACGTCTTCATGTATATTCACGGATTTTTTAGTACTTTTGGTTTGCTTTAATATCAATTATTTCTGAAACGGAAAACGTATAAATAGGTCACATAACAAACTCACAAAATGCACAGGAAATAATATCACATACAAGCATGACAAAAGAAAAAAAACCTAGGGTCCCAGGAGAGTGAACCGGTTATCAGGTAAAACTATCCTTTCCTAATTGAAGAGAATGTTAAAGATATTACCAAAGAAAATTTCTTTAACTCTTTTTTTTTACAAAATATTTATTTTGAATTTCCTGGGTTTTTTTTGGCAAAATAAAAATGCACTTAAAGACTCTCAATAGAACATGTATTTATCCGCAAACTATGGTTTCAAATGTTTAGCTGTTCTTTAGTAGAATATCTTTGACATTTGGACCAACTGACCCCTTTTGGCTATTTAATTCCATACTTTTTACCAAGACCAAAGAAGTAAATATTTTCTAAAGAACCATACAGCATACAGGTATTTCGATTTAACGAATAGTACTAAATGTCTAGGGAAAAATCACTGTTATAGTTAACTATGGTCAAGGAGAAGAAAGTATTAATAATCTGAACGTTCTTGGTAATAAATTAATAATAAGATCTATTTTTTTTTTACATCTTGTGATCCGTTTATTTGGCAATCGCCAATGGCAGTTAGCAGGGTTTAAGGACATCAGTTGTTCGACCTGCTAGTCAAATGCGTTTTTTTTTTAAATATACTTTTGAATTTCACTCATTTGGTCTTTTGGAAAATGTTGTTTGTGCTGTATTTAGAAATTTGTTTTGCATGCACACGTATAAAAATTGCGGTTTTTATCCAACGCAATCATAGGTTTGAACGTTGTTTTCAATTTAGACTTGTATATATATAAAATTATTATAAACAAGTCTAAATTGAAAACAACGTTCAAACCTATGATTGCGTTGGATAAAAACCGCAATTTTTATACGTGTGCATGTAAAACAAATTTCTTGGTAGAGGGGTCTAAATACAGCACAAACAACATTTTCCAAAAGACCAAAAAAGTGAAAAGTATATTTTAACAAATTGCATTTGACTAACAGGTCGAACAACTGATGTTCTTAAACCCTGCTGACTGCCATTGACGATTGCCAAATAAATTGATCACGAGATGTAACATGGATCTTAATTATTAATTTAATACCAATCAGAAAACAGTAAACTTGCGGAGAAGATGGTATACCGCAAACATGAGGTGCAAAAATTTGTACACCATATCCGGATTTCTACAATTAATTTCTCTTCAGTGATGTTAAGGATCGAAACGGTATTTGGAAGGCCATATAATTTACCTCAATTTAGGATAGATTCTTGAATTTTAAAGGGTCGAAATAGGATGAACGGATCATATAAACCCGAAGGAAAATATAATACAAGCCCAAACGAAAAAATATAAACAAGTCTAAATTGAAAACAACGTTCAAACCTATGATTGCGTTGGATAAAAACCGCAATTTTTATACGTGTGCATGTAAAACAAATTTCTTGGTAGAGGGGTCTAAATGCAGCACAAACAACATTTTCCAAAAGACCAAAAAAGTGAAAAGTATATTTTAACAAATTGCATTTGACTAACAGGTCGAACAACTGATGTTCTTAAACCCTGCTGACTGCCATTGACGATTGCCAAATAAATTGATCACGAGATGTAACATGGATCTTAATTATTAATTTAATACCAAACAGAAAACAATAAACTTGCGGAGAAGATTGTATACCGCAAACATGAGGTGAAAAAATTTGTACACTATATCCGGATTTCGACAATTAATTTCTCTTCAGTGATGTTAGGGATCGAAACCGTATTTGGAAGGCCATATAATTTACCTCAATTTAGGATAGACTCTTGAATTTTAAAGAGACGAAATAGGATGAACGGATCATATAAACCCGAAGGAAAATATAACAAGTCTAAAAGTGATCTTACTGATGAAGGATATTAGTTATACGAAATATATAAAATTTGTTCACGATTTAATTATTTTTTTGTGATGTTGTATCCGTTTAGACTTGTTATATATTATATTTTGTAGTGTACTGTAATCATAATTTTATGATCCATCGCCCCGTAAGATTTATCGTTGGCTATTATTCAGTCATTTTTATACGACCGCAAAAATTGAAAATTTTTTGGTCGTATATTGGTATGATGTTGGCGTCGTCGTCGTCGTCGTCGTCGTCGTCTGGCGTCGTCCGGCGTCGTCCGAAGACACATTGGTTTTCGCACTCTAACTTTAGTTTAAGTGAATGGATCTCCATGAAATTTTACCATAAGGTTCAATACCACGAAAGGAAGGTGGGGATTGATTTTGGGGGTTATGGTACCAACAGTTAAGGAATTAGGGGCCAAAAAGGGGCCAAAAATAAGCATTTTTGTAACTTCCAGACAATAACTTGTGTGTAAGTGTATGGATCTCTCTGACATTGTACCACAAGGTTCCATATCACAAAGGGAAGGCTGTAATTGATTTTGGGGATAATTGCCTCAAAATTTTATGAATTAGGGGCCAAAAAAGGGGCAAAAAACAAGCATTTTTCTAGTTTCATGACAATAACTTGTGTGTAAGTGTTTGGATATTTCTGAAATTGTACTACAAGGTTCCATATCACAAAGGGAAAGCTGGAATTGAGTTTGGGGGTAATTGCCCGAAACGTTTAGGAATTGGGGGCCAAAAAGGGGCCAAAAATAAGCATTTTTCTAGTTTCCAGACAATAACTTGTGTTCAAGTGTATGGATCTCTCTGAAATTGTACTGCAAGGTACCATACCACAAAGGGAAGGCTGGGATTGAGTTTGGGGGTGATAAATCATAAGGGGGTTCAAAAAATTTGGGGGGGGGGGATTTTTTCTTTTCTTTTTTTTTTTCTTTTTTTTTCCTTTTTTTTTTCTTTTAAAATTTTCCATTTTAAGTTGGTTATTTCTGATTAATATTTAAAAGCAAATAATAATGATATGGTAGGAGATACACACCAAACAGGATGTGTAAATTATTATATAATAAGTATTGTGCAATAGCAAGAAATTTTCAATTGCACAGTATTGCACAATTGCAAGAAATCTTCAATTGCACAGTATTGCGCAATAGCAAGAAATCTTCAATTGCACAGTATTGCGCAATAGCAAGAAATATCCAATAGCACAATATTGCGCAATAGCAAGAAATTGTCAATTGTACAGTATTGCACAATAGCAAGAAATATTCAATTGCACAGTATTGTGCAAAAGAAGATACTTCGTATACATTGCTTATTTCTTGATCAATTTCAATGGGGTTTTATTCTTGAATTCTTGGGGTTCTTTAATATGCTGAATCTAACCGTGTATTTAGATTCTTAATTTTTGGTTCCGTTTTCAAATTGGTCTACATTAAGGTCAAAAGGGTCCAAAATTAAACTTAGTTTGATTTTAACAAAAATTGAATTTTTGGGGTTCTTTGATATGCTGAATCTAAACATGAGTTTAGATTTTTGATTATGGGACCAGTTTTCAAGTTGGTCCAAGTTGGGGTCCAAAATTAAACTTTGTTTGATTTCAACAAAAATTGAATATATGGGGTTCTTTGATATGCGGAATCTAAACATGTATTTAGATTTTAGATTTTTGGCCCAGTTTTCAAGTTGGTCCAAATTGGGGTCCAAAATTAAACTTTGTTTGATTTCAACAAAAATTGAATATATGGGGTTCTTTGATATGCTGAATCTTACCATGTATTTAGATTTTTTATTTTGTGGGCCTGCTATCAAATTGGTTCATATTGAGGTCAAAAGGGTCCAAAATTAAACTTTGTTTGATTTCATCAAAAATTGAATTATTGGGGTTCTTTGATATGCCAAATCTAACCGTGTTTTTAGTTTTTTAATTTTGGGTCCCGTTTTTTAAATTGGTCTACATTAAGGTCCAAAGGGTCCAAAATTTAACTTAGTTTGATTTTAACAAAAAATGAATTCTTGGGGTACTTTGATATGCTGAATCTAAACATGTGTTTAGATTTTTGATTATGGGACCAGTTTTCAAGTTTGTCCAAGTTGGGGTCCAAAATTAAACTTTGTTTGATTTCAACAAAAATTGAATATATGGGGTTCTTTGATATGCTGAATCTAACCATGTATTTTGATTTTGGACATTGGACCATAATAGGTAAATTAAAAAAATTGAAGTTCTTAGACCACATTCTTTCTGTGTCAGAAACCTATGCTGTGTCAAATATTTAATCACAATCCAAATTCAGAGCTGTATCAAGCTTGAATGTTGTGTCCATACTTGCCCCAACTGTTCAGGGTTCGACCTCTGCGGTCGTATCAAGCTGCGCCCAGCGAAGCATTTTATATATATATATATATATATATATCCATGAAAGCCATTATAGATAAAGAATATCTGGCGGGGTAAAAAAGTTAAGAATATCAAGGTTAACATACTTTCCATTTCTGATAATATGACCAGATGAACCCTTATAGGAGCGTTTGCAATCAAATGACCATTTTTACCCACTTCTTGTGTTTATATGAATTATCTGGAAATCTATGATAAATAAAGGAAATTTCCAATTGGCTCCTTTAAGGAGTTATTGCCATTATATGATTATTTGTTTTTATCCCTGTTTGACTATTATCTCCTCAATTATAATAGAGAGAAACTGTAAACAGTAAACAAATCAGTAAAAAATAATCAAATAAAGGATTTTGTCAATCGACTATTATAGGGGTTATTGCCATAAAATTACGATTACAGTTTTTGAATTATCAAATATTTTGAAAACCATTTACTAATAATTCGATATCCCATGGGCCAAAACCTGGAATGTTATCATGTAGCCCTGAACAGAAAACGTCCCCTAAATGTGATACCCGTCCTGTATACCCCACGGGCCAAAACCTGGAATGTTATCATGTAGTCCTGAATAGTAAACGTCCCCTGATTGCGATACACG